TTTCCACGTGCATCTCCCATAAATATAGTTATCGTTCTGACGTCACACGGCGAAAATTTCTACGAACATGTGCTATTGAATATCTTTTCTTACCGCCTTCATTCAATCAGAATTCCACAGCTTCTTCTTCTAGCTAATGCTAACATCTTCATTTACATATTTCACAGGGCTTGGATAATAAACTGAACCGGAGGATTTGCAGGGTGACTGGCATTTAGTATCACTAGTTTACGGGGAGTCGCTGTCTGATTCTAATAAACACTTGCCCGTATCATCACCCGTGGTAGAAGTATGCTTATCGCAGTCTGTATCACTGCTACTATCACTCGATTCACAAACACTTCCTTCACATTCATCGAAGGTTGATTCCTCATAACGCTGCACTCCTGTGCAATTATTTTCGATGAATTCAATGATGCATTGACCCATTTCTCGTTCTTTTTCATTTACACTTCCCGCCCGAGATAAACCTTTGTCACAAGTAACTCAAGTCTATGTAATGAACTCGACTATGTTAATAGAATTTAAAATAATTTGCTCTGTGGCCATTGCGGATATTCTTTCTTCCGTAGCATGGAAAGATGAACTGGGCGCGAAACTACGCATCCCTTGTTTATTGCAGGGCCGTTGACGGAACCGGTTGACTCATCCGTGACCTTCGGGTCCCTTGCGACAGCTCGCCGGTAGTAAGGGCTGGCCAAACGGACCGGTAGCCGCCCCGATCCTTTTCTTAGTTATTATATGTTTTTTTAATGATTTATTTGGAGGCATTGCAGAGGAAAGTGGCAGCAAATATTTTGGATATGGGATTCTGATAGTGCATTGCATGTGTCATAAAAATTTCGAGGGGTGTTTCGACATGAAGGATCTCTTAGTTCCCTTGTAAGATACCTAATATTTTCTTTTACAACATTTTGCGTGCTATTTTGTAATTTTTTGTCATGAAAAAGTCAAAGGAGGTTTACTTCTAGATATTTACCACATTCCCCAAAATGTAAAAATTGAATTCTATAGAATTTTTACCTTGTATCTGTCATATACAATGAAAACAATGACTCAAGTTTTTTGAGATCAGAAATAGAATGTTAACATGTACGTAGGAATGAGGCTGCTTGTGTATGGCTGATTCTCAATGTGGTGATACATAACATTTGTGCTCAGCAACCAACTGCATGGTGGTGACCATTTACTGATGGAGTTTAGTTTTGTGTGAATGTTATTCCAAGTCTCTTGCTATGCTGTGATGATATACTTCTGTGTATCGTTCCTTGCATCTTGGGGACGTAAGGCAATTACCATTACTGCTTGATTATTTGCAGTATTTAACATTGCAACATCTACCTCTTTTATTTCCTTGAAAACCCATGTGCCCAGGCACTGGTGATTTTTGGAGTGCTAATGTGTGGCACTAAAAAAATCATTTGGAGTAAAGTATTAATGATAATGATAATAATAATAATAATAATAATTATTATTATTATTGTATATATATATATATA